AAGGGAGTTTGAGCTGGAAAACGACAGCTGGAGATGGTGCACAGATGTTGGGTGTGTGAACGTGGATATAAAGTCTGTTACTGCAGCGTGCCGAAAGCAGACTAAATGGCCCGTCTGAATGCACCCTATAAATGTAGTACACTGCCATTACTTCTCCTGGCTGTGGAGGAATTTTGCTCATATAGGTAAAGGTTCCCTTGCTCGAAAGCCAGTCGAATCCGACTCTAGGGTTGTGGTGCTCATCTCCGTTTCAAAGCCGAAGAGCCAGCGCTGTCCAAAGACGTTTCCGTGGTCATGTGGCCGGCATGACTAAACACCAAGGCGCACGAAGGGAGTTTGAGCTGGAAAACGACAGCTGGGGATGGTGCACAGATGTTGGGTGTGTGAGCGTGGATATAAAGTCTGTTACTGCAGTGTGCCGAAAGCGGACTAAATGGCCCGTCTGAATGCACCCTCTAACTGTAGTACACTGCCATTAATTCTCCTGGCGGTTGAGGAATTTTGCTCATATAAGGGGGGGACAAATGGGGCTTTTACACCGAAGACATGAAGTGATAGGAAAAGTATGCTGATCCTGAAGCTTATACACCAGAACCTTGCATTGGACTCCCCAAAAGCACAGGTACACACAAACCTGGCTAGAGCTGCCTTCTACTCAGTAAGAACCTCGGTCCATCAAGGTCAGTATTGTCTACTCGGACCAGGAGTGACTCTCCAGGCTCTCAGGCAGAGGTCTTTCACACAACCTACTCCCTGATCCTTTCAACCGGAGATGCCGGGGACTGAACTCTGGATCTTTTGCATGCAAGACAGATGCTCTGCCGCTGAGCCACAGCCCTCATCTCCCTATATTCACTGGGGTGCGGGTTGCGACATTCTGCACTAGTTTTGTGGATGAATTTCAAGTTGGGAGGGGACTTATCATATGAACTCCTGTACACAAAAATCTCATCCCAGTTCTAAGTCAGGCTAAAATTTAAAGGGGCTGTTGAGTTGCAACCGACTAACGGTCTGATTTCCCACAAGCTGCTGCTCCGCACTCGTTCCTCCATTTGCCCCGAACGTACGTGTCAATTTCACACCATGTGCCGCGCGGCCGCATTTTGCCCCGCAGCTTCGCCCTATTTCCCCCACCTCTACTTAATCCTCAAAAAACAGAACTGAGTAGACGAGGGGGAAATCGGGCGAAGCTGCGGGGCAAAATGCGGCCGCACAGCACATGGTGTGAAATTGACAAGTATGATCGGGGCAAAGGGAAGAGCAAGCGCGGAGCAGCAGGTTATGGGAAATCAGTCCTACTGTCAGGGCTACTGTTTCTTTCTATTGTTGCTGGAGAAAAGTCGTTCGCCACTGCTTTCCTCTGCACAGCGACCCCAGCCTGCCGAGGTGTTCTCCCATACAAGTATTAACTATGGCCAACCCTGCTTAGCTTCCAAGATCTGATGAAAACGGGCTAGTCTGGGCTAAGAACCCTTAAAACCTGGAAGCAACTCAAAATAGGGATTTCATTTCCCCTGCTCCACCCCATTCTGGCAACTCAACCCCAGACCCTCTCCAGCAAGAGATTTTTTTATGCTGGTGAAAGAAGTGGGAGTCACCAGCAGCAAGGAAGGTGGGTTAAGACACAGGCTCCTCCAACCCTCTTGCAATCACAGCTTCAAGACCTTTTCCAAGACTTTAATTTCTTCCCGATTCAAGCAATCGGGGCAGGACGCAGGCGGGCACCATTGTGCACAGACCTAGCTCCTGCCATTCAGTCTTTGTGGCATTAATTGTTTCACCTTTTTAACGACATAAATTGCTTTTGAACAGTAGCGTTCTAATGCAATAAATCTTCACACAAATGTTGCTCTGGCAGCATAGATGGTTTCGTAACTGGGGCAATGTTCCCCGGGGAACTTGACGAACATCCCAAAAGCAGCCAAAAAGTTCATCAGTATTAAAAACAACAAAGGTGAGCGATACGTGAATCTGTTATTAATGCTCCACTTTATGGATTTTGGGGTTGGTGCTTTCTCGCATTTAAGCAGACGCAACAAAAGGAATTAATGACTGGTTTTACCTTTGCCTCTTACAGTTTGTATAGATTTGGAATCGCTCCAGTTTCCCACTCCCCGGCTAGTTACTGCAGCAACCTTTTCAAATTAGAAGAGAAGAACAATGTCAAAATGGCTTTTTAAATGAAAATGAAGTGGGTTTAAAAGGGGATGGCTGGCAAAGGGCATGGAAAGCTTCATCAGTTTACAGGAGAATACAGTCTGATCATGGACAGACCTCTGGTTTATACAGAAGCCTGATTCAATATGGCTTCTCTTATGTTCCTAAATAAGGACGCTGCTGCTGCTGCAACCTTGTGATATCACCATGGCAAACTGGCCATAATAACAAATCCAAAGTAGTTCAGGAACAGAGAGTGATAACAATATGAAAGAGAAGTTCAAAAGTGCAACATTTTTTAAAAAGCTCTTACCAAGTGAAGATAGAACAGAGTTCTGACTAGACATGTTCAAACATTAAACAGTCAATGCTTTACAGGGTGACTCTGCCGATACTGTGCATTCTCAGTTACACGTGACAACATTTTAGGTAAAGGTTTCCCTTGCTCGAAAGCCAGTCGAATCCTACTCTAGGGGTGTGGTGCTCATCTCTGTTTCAAAGCCGAAGAGCCAGCGCCGTCCGAAGACGTTTCCGTGGTCATGTGGCCGGCATAACTAGACACCAAGGCGCACAGAACACTGTTACCTTCCCACTGAAGCGATATCTATTTATCTACTTGCAATTTCTTGCTTTCGAACTGCTAGGTTGGCAGGAGCTGGGACCAGAGACGAGAGCTCACTCCGTCACGCGGCACTCGGGTCTCGAACTGCCGAGCTACCGACCTTTTGGTCTACAGTTCAGCATCTTAAACACTGAGCCACTGCAGCCCCATTTAATAGCAACATTTTAATAGCATGCAAAGGAGAAGTCAAAATAAATTAGATCTTGATAAAATTTATTTTGGGGGAAGGATATCATTATATGTTAGACAGGAGACTACTGGGAACCGAAGATCAACAAATTTTTCCTGACTACGTTCCATTTGAGCACTAGAACTGAATGCATAAAGTTTATCCAGCAGAATCCCAAAGCCGAACTCTCCAAGCTTATATGGAGGGCAGTGAGTTGTTTTTCCAGTGTGCAGCTAATGCCAATCTGGGTGTTACTAATAATATAGCAATTCTTTCATTTGTGATTTGTTTGTTGGATAATTTGGGAATATAAATAACAACCTCGGGGAAGTTTCCCAAGCAGTTTACTTACTGATGCCTGTGCCAGGTTTTCTGCCTGTGGCTTGGAGGAGACTGAAAGTCTCAAACATGTTCTCCTGTATTGTATTTGTGCTGTTTTTCTACAACCTCTTTATCAAAGCCAAGTAGGGCAATCTGATGACTATAAGATCGTTTCATTATTATCTTCCCATAATTCTGAGACCACTGAATCGGTAGCTAAATTTGTCTGTTGTGCCTCTCAGAGGAGAATATTGTTTCAGATGCAGGGGTAAAGGACGTTTGGTGTCGTGGTTCAGTGTGCGGACTCTAATCTGGGAGAACCGGGTTTGATTCCCCACTCCTCCACTTGCACTTGGCTGGATGACCTTGGGCAAGCCATAGTTCTGACAAGAGCCGTCCTTGAAAAAGAGCAGTTTCTGTCAAGAGCTCTCTGAGCCCCACCCACCTCACAGGGTGTCTGTTGCGGGGAGGGGAAGGGAAAGGAGTTTCTAAGCCGCTCTGAGACTCCTTCGGGTAGTGAAGGGCAGGGTATAAATCCAATCTCCTCCTCCTCCTCTTCCCTACTGCCGGTGTTTGTTCTGTTGATATGCCAACAAAGGTTCTGACTGATTGATTGACTAGAAGCCCTAATGGCACAGTGGAGTAGAGCCTGGTCTACAAGTAGGGTTGCCATCTCTGGGTTAGGGAATTCCTGGAGATTTGGGGGTGGAGCCTGGGGACGGGCGGGGATTGGGTAGGGGATAAATGCCCACCCTCCACAGCATCCCACCTAATCTCTGTAGCGTGGAGATCAGTTGTGATCCCAGAGAGGACCTCCAGTTCCTACCTGGAGACTCAAGGACAATGTGGTAAGGAAACCTAGGAAGCCAGGCGATAACTAGAAAAATTGTATAATTTTTAGACTCAGGGCTTTTTTTGTAGAAAAAGCCCAGCAGGAACTCATTAGCATAATAGGCCACACCCAACAGCAGAAACGCATTAGCCTATTAGGCCACACCCCTGACAGTACAGCTCATTAGCATATTAGGCCACACCCCGTGCTTTCCCTTGACTCGCCTGGGCGCCCCAGGCTGCAGGGAGCCTGGGCAAGCCGGCCCTTGGACAGGCTGGGGAAGGCACGGGGAGGCATTTAAATGCCTCCCTGATCCTTTCAGGGGGCCCCTGGCCCGCCCGTCTCAGAGTCGCCGGGGGGGGGGGGTTGCTCTCTAGGCCTTCCCTCTGTAGCCACGCATGCAGAGGTTTTGGCTGTAGTGGGCGTGGTCAACCCTGAAGCCAGCCGGAACTCCGTTCCTGTGCGTTCCTGCCCAATAATAGCCCTGTTTATATTTATGAATTATGTCTTTTAAACAGTCTTTTGTAGGACCGGCAATAAGCATCAACAGAACTACAAACGAAAGCTTCCCCCACCACCCTTCCCCTTTCGGAAGACTTTGTGCAAGTAGAAGTGGGCTTGTAATTCTGGAAACTCCCGTTGGGGCTTGACTTATAAAATGCTGGTGCAAAACTGACTGGTAGTTGTTAAACTGAATGAATATATGCACCCGACAAGGATGCTATAATAGCGCACTATGCACTCGATAGAATGATAGTTATAAATAGAAAACGTTAATTTACAAAAGTTTCTTGCAGTGTACATTTATTGGTTACTTGACTCTCCTGACACAGCAGCTCGGGGTTGCTACATACCCCTGGAGGCTGGCAACCCTATTTACAATGTCACGGTTTGGGCTCTGTCACGGGCAAATGTCTTTCCCGTTGACTCTCCCAAGCCTTAATACTGAGGTTCGGCATGCATGGGCACAGCCTTCTGCTCATTCACACTACTCCATTTATTTCAGTGACTGCAAAGGACCGCCTGAGTAGCCCCAGCACGGACCCCGCCCGGCTTGGGCTCTTTTTGTAGCAGGTACTCATTTGCATATTAAGCGACACACCCCTAATGTAGCCAATCCTCCAAGAGCTTACAGTAGCTCCTGTAAGAAGAGCTCTGTAAGCTCTTGGAGGATTGGCTACATTAGGGGGTGTGGCCTAATATGCAAAGGAGTTCCTGCTACAAAAAGAGCCCAAGCCACTGTGGGTGAGGAATTTAGAGCCCTTGTACTTGACGCTGAACTGCGGACTGGAAGGTCGGTAGCTTGGCGGTTCAAGACCCGAGTGCCGCGGGACAGAGTGAGCTCCCATCTCTGGCCCCAGCTCCTGCCAACCTAGCAGTTTGAAAGCAAGAAACTGCAAGTAGATAAATAGCTGCCGCTTCGGTGGGAAGGTAACAGTGTTCCATGTGCCTCGGCGTCTAGTCATGCTGGCCACGTGACCATGGAGATGTCTTCGGACAGCGCTGGCTCTTCGGCTTGGAAACGGAGATGAGCACCGCCCCCTAGAGTCGGATTCGACTGGCTTTCAAGCAAGGTAAACCTTTACCTTACTTGCATAATGAAACTGCTGGACAAGGGGAGGGAGAGGACTGCTACGTTCACAAGAAAGTGATCTAAAAATAAAGTGTACTCACTCTGAAAGTGTACAACGTGTTGACCTCTAGCCTCTCAATTTCCGAATAGTTGGTGGGGGCTCTCACAGACGACCATTCCTTGGATCCGGCTCTGCTGTACTCCACCTAACGGGACAGAAAAGAAGTCGTCCCAAGGTCACTACTAGAGTCAGGGGTCATTTCCTGCAGGAGCGCACAGGAGCAGAGCTCCGGCAGTAAAGAGCCCAGGGGGCGGGCACATGCAACAAACTCTGCCCCCTGCTCCCAGCAGCCCTCAGTCAGAGCAAGAAGCAGCCAGGTAAGTTGCAGAGCCCCCCCCCCAGCCCCTCAGTCCAAAACAGTCCAGTGGCACCTTTAAGACCAAGTTTTATTCAGGTACAAGCTCTCCCTCCTCTGCGTGGACAGATCTACACATCACCCCCCAATAGGTAGCAATCCAAAACAGTCCAGTGGAGCCTGAGCGGTGGGTGTTGCCTTCTGACACACTTCCAGTGATGCCAGGGGGTGTGGCATATGCAAGTACATTATGCTAATGAGTTACACTAATGAGCTCCTGCACCTCTTTTCCTACGAAATGACCCCTGACTAGAGTGAAAGTCATTTAAACAGCTGGTGGCTGTGGAAAGTGGCCTCAAGTTGCAGCAGACTTATGGCAACACCACAGGGTTTTGAAGGCAAGGGGAATTCAGAGGTGGTGTGTGCCATCGCCTGCCTCTGCGTAGCAAAACCCAACATTTCTTTCGTGGTCTCCCATCCAAATACTGACCAGGGCCGACCCTGCTTAGCTTCCAAGCTCTGATAAGATCAGCCTATTCCAGGCCACCTAGCTACTAAGACCCTCCAAAGAGGAAAGAGAAGACCTCTGCCAGCCAGGCAAATGCATGGGGAAATGCATAGGCCAGGCAGATGCCCACCTCTTTGGCATCTGAGCTAAACAAGCTAAGGAAGAAGAAATAAACTGTTGTCTCTATCTCAATAAAGAAGGACATAATAGGGGAGGGGGGCTCTCCAGTGTGTGAAGGAAGATGCCTGGTTAACAGATTTTCTTTGTCCACGTCTGCCAGAATCAGAGAGAATGGCAAAATATGATATTTTACGTGTAAATTGTCATTTTAATAATAATAATCATCATCATCATCATCATCTTTCAATTTATTGATCACTCAATCCTTGCAGAGCTGCTGGCTCTGAGCGATTTACAGTTACTCATTTCACAAGGGACTAACGATGCTTTATAGTGGTAAGGGAGGACAACACATATAATCTTTACATAGCACACGTTTTGCAGCCGACGGGGATTTGTTCAGTTGCAACTCAGACGTGATCCGGACGGCATTTTTCCCACTCGGCTTGGCTTGGCTGGATGACGTCAGCTCTTCCTCTCCAGGACTCTTCGGGTCGCAGCTCCATACTGCCACCGCCTGGCCGGAATGGCCCATTACAGGCTTCTTGATGCCGAAGAGCTCTTCTAGGCTTTTGATCTTGCGAGCCGAACCTTCCGTTCACCGGCTAACACCTCCCCCACGGCGAGGTTTTTAATGTGCCCACCCTCTCTAAGGAGTGGTACCCATTTTATCTACTCGCCGAAGCTTTCAAATCACTGGGTGGACAGCGAGCTGGGGACAAGGCTGGTAGCTCACACCAGCGCGGGGCTAGAACTGACAGCAGTCCTGTTCAGCTCAGATGTTACTTGTAACCAGAGGATAAATCCCCTGTGCCACCGCTCCATTAATAGTGTTTTAATTGTATTATTTAACTGTGGTACACCACCCTGAGCCCATGTGGGGAGGGCGGTATATAAATCTAATAAAATAAATAAATTACATAAATAAAACATGTATGCCTTTCAAGACTTAGGTCTCTGGCCTGATGGAGTGAGGACTCCCCGTACCCCCTCTTGTACTAGATCTGAGGCACAAGTGCCCCATGGTCAGGTTACAAACTGCACTGAAAACATATGAAAGGGAGAGACCGGAGATGAAAGGCAGCCAGGAGAGGTTGTGACGCCTTACGTGGAGTGTGTGGCAAGAATTGGGTGAAGCCGTGGAATATAGGTTTATCGGTGGCCACGAGTGCTAAATGTAACCTCCATATTGAGAGAGGGGGATCTTCACCCCCGACGGAAGAGCCCCCTTAGTCGGAGGAAGGCTCGGGACGTTGCTGAGCGGAGTGGCAGGATCCATCCCAGGGGGTTCGCCGGACGAACACTTGTCGGGGATGCTTTAGGCTGATCCTGAGCAGGGGGTTGAGCCCAGATGGCCTGTATGGCCCATTTCCAACTCTATGATTCTAAGCACCAGCGGCTGAGGGTCAGCAGCACAGGATGGGTAGCACCATCTCTAATTGCCTTTTAGTTTCCTAAGGGCAACAATTCTAGTTGTTTTGCGACCCGCAGTCTCCACTGAAACACCTCACAGACTGGGGGAAATTGTGGGAGGGTGGGTGTATCCATGGTCCCCACCATGAAAGCTACAATTAGTTTCCCAAGAAAGCTGCAAGACCTCAGGCTTTGGCCACCCCTTGATGCCTTTCTTTTCATTAAAGAGCCAGGCCATGCTGTTTCCATATAAGCAAGGGTCATTTCCTGCAGGAGCGCACAGGAGCGGAGCTCCGGCAGTAAGGAGTCCAGGGGGCAGGCACACGCAACAAGCCCCGCCCCCTGCTCCCAGAAGCCCTCAGTCGGGCCACAAAGAGCAAGAAGCAGCCAGGTAAGTTGCAGAGGCCCCTCCGGCCCACCTTCAGGTACAAGCTCTCCCTCCTCTGTGAGGGCAGATCTGCCCGTTCCCCCCCCACCAATACCTAGCAATCCAAAACAGTCCAGTGGAGGCTGAGCGGTGGGTGTTGCCTTCTGACACACTTCCAGTCAAGGTGTGTGGCATATGCAAATAAGTTATGCTAATAAGGTATGCTAATGAGCTCCTGCACCTCTTTTTCTACGAAATGACCCCTGCATATAAGTAAGCCATTTCTGCCCACACCGCCCCCCTACTAAACCACTGTGGGCTAATTTCCCCAGGGTGCACCAAACTGCCCAACTTATTCGTTTACCGAAATATTTGCGACCCACCTTTCTCCCCATCAGTTAGTAGCTCAAGGCGGCTGGGAAGGGCATGTACCTTCCACCAAGACCTACACTGCACTTTGAGACCAAAAGAGGAACACATAACCCACCACGAGGGCACAGATCTGTGCTTCGCAGCAACACTATAATAACCTCCTCTGCATCTGCGGAGGTATCCCCCTTGGGATGGTATCAGAAAGCAGCTTAGTGATACCTACGACGTATTCTCTTATCAGGCCATGGGTGTTCGCTGGAGGAGCCCACTGGCAGATCACGACATCTTCGGCTTCCCTCTTTGGCGACAGTTGCAGATGCTGGGGAGGATCCGGCACTGGCCAAAAGAGAAAGAATTTCGGGGAGAGAAAGGCAGGGTTAGCAGCTGTCATGATCGCTGTACGCCTCTGGAGATCTGTGCAGGACTGGGCCTAGTGAGGCCTAAGAGACCTGCCTGGGAGTGGGAAGCAGACAGCCTACAATCCCTACAAGGCTTTGCGCCAGCGGTAACCAATGGGGGTCAAGGAATTCTCTGAGGAGATGGTTTATACACTTGGTGGTCAGTTAAACTGTGGTTCTTTTCCTCTCTGCGGTCTGTTGCCTCTCACAGAGCTAAGCTGAGGAGACTGGTCTGGGAGAAAGATCCCTCACTGGGAGAAGCCTGGCATGAGAGAGCTGTAGGGCTTGAGTAGTAACCATTAAGGAGTAATAATAGGTAGCTGCGTAAGCTTTGTGTTTCTTTTGGCCTTTCAACACTGTTATGTATTTTAAAGTCTCTTGTCTTGTTTTTCCCCTGCCCAGTACTGTAATAATAAACCCTTTTTGTTCAACTGTTTCTCTGCCTGGTCTTCACGCTTATGTTTCTCGGCTACAAAGGGGCAATTTGAAGGGGCTTGCGAAGGTACCCTGGGCCTTCTCAAGGGACCTAAGTCCAGGGTGGTGGCGGCGGAAGGTGGCAACCCGCTGGGGTCATGACAGCAGCAAATTAGTCTCAGACCCTTGCTTGTCAGGAAGTGGAGGCGGCTATAGGGAAGTAGGGTAGAGCACTGCGGGAAGCCACTAGTAGGGGAGGGAGGGAAGGGAAACATGGGTATTTGTCAAGTGAAAGTAAATGTTAAATGTGTTATTATATCCAAAAATAAAACGTTTTTGGAAAAGAAAAAAAAAAAAGGAAGTGGAGGCGGCTATAAGCTTCAGGAGGAGCTTCAGGAGGAGATTGGAGAAGACAGCTTCAGGAGGAGATTGGAGAACCATCTGGAGCAGAGGTCCATCAGTGGCTATTAGCCACAAGGTATAGATCATGGGTGGCAAACATAAGGCCCGGGGGCCAGAACAGGCCCGCCCAGGGCTCTTATGCGGCCTGCGAGCAACTAGTGCAGAGGAGGGAAGAGGAGACTGTTCGCGGGGGGGGGGGGGGGGAGTGGGTAGAGCCACTCCGATTGTGGCTTCAGCATGGCAGAACAGTATCTCCGGTACCTGGTATTACATTTTATGGTACACGTGGTCCGGCCCGACAAAGTGACATTTATGTCAGATCTGGCCCTCGTAACAAATGAGTTCGACACCCCTGGTATACATGGAGCACTATGTCTGGGGCAGGGATGCTCTATATTCTTAGTGTTTGGGGGGCAACAGTGGGAGGGCTTCTGGAGTTCTGGACCTGCTGGTGGACCTCCTGATGGCATCTGGGCTTTGGCCACTGTGTGACACAGAGCGTTGGACTGGATGGGCCACTGGCCGGATCCAATATGGCTTCTCTTATGTTCTTATCACTGAAGGAACAAGAAATGCAGGTTCCTGACAACCTTTATGCCAATGTGGGGTACATTGCCTTTTCTCTAAGGTGTTCAGGCATACATGGCTCTCCCCTTCTCCCTTTTTTTCTGCGCTAAAAGAGAGTGCCAAGGACATTTTCTGGACTAAAAGAGAGACCAAGGTCGTTCAGTTAGCTTTATAAGTGAGCAGGGTCTTGAACACAGCTCCCCTTGCTCCTAGCCCAGCACTCAAACCAGTACAGGGCTTAACTGGGGGAGGGGGGAGCTTACTTCTGACTTCACTCCGTCAGTTTGAACTGAGCGTTAAATTGCATGGCTATTTACTAATAGTGGCATCTATGGATTTACTGCCTTTGACTTTCCCTGCCTAGGCTATCCAACAAGAATAGTGTGTGCCAGGGGTCGTTTCGTAGAAAAAAAGCTAGGGGAACTCATTAGCATAACTCATTAGCATATGCCACACCCCCTGACATCACCGGAAGTGTGTCATAAGGCCACACCCCCTGACATCACTGGAAGTGTGTCATAAGGCCACACACCCCGCCCCCAAATGAGGGCCGGAAGCGGGGCGGCCGGAAGCGGGGGTGGGGCTTCATCATGTGCCCCGCCCCCATACCTCACCCGGGGCAACTGCGATCCCCCGCAATCCCCCCCGAAATGACCTCTGGTGTGTGCACTGAACATTAAACAACACAAATATCAGCTATTTCTCCCACCCCGGGGATGTTTTAACACTTGCTTCCTTCATTGGGGTTAAGGTAAGAGCTTTTAGAAGATTCTTTGAGCATTCTTTTGTCCTTTGCTGGATTCATTTTATGCTCAGTTCTACATCTTCCCTATATATGTATCTGCATACAAATTTATTTCCTGGAACAGATAATCCTGCAGCAGTTTGGCCTTCGAATTTTCCATTCATTGCATCTGTAATCCAGTTGCTTCTGATGTATCCAAAACAACACCATGGACTGGCAAAGACCATTCGAGGATATCACATGATATACTGCTTCTAGATTCAAGACAATACACACCATGTCCAGGTCGAGGTTTTTAAATTGCAGAGACCAAAAGAAAGTGTGCGGTTATACCAGCTATGATTACCAAGTGAAGAAGACGTTCATTAGCTAAGAGTGCGCAAAATCTGAGATGCTTTCATTATGACAGCCTGTGAAATTACAAACTCTAACTGGATTTCTCATCATATGCTATCAGATCTTCCACATTTTTTTATCTCTTCATTTATGTTATTTACAATTTTATGGGAAAAGTGCAGAAAAGGGCAACTAGAATGATAAAACGGTTGGAACACTTTCCCTATGAAGAAAGGTTAAAGCGCTTGGGGCTCTTTAGCTTGGAGAAATGATGGCTGAGGGGTGACATGATCAAGGTTTACAAGGTTATGCGTGGGATAGAGCAGGTTGAGAAAGAGGTACTTTTCTCCCTTTCTCACAATACAAGAACTTGTGGGCACTCCATGAAATTGCTAAGCAGTCGGGTTAGAATGGATAAAAGGAAGTACTTCTTCACCCAAAGAGTGATTAACACATGGAATTCACTGCCACAGGAGGTGGTGGTGGCTACAAGCATGGACGGCTTCAAGAGGGAATTAGATGAACATATGGAGCAGAGGTCCATCAGTGGCTATTAGCCACAAGGTATAGAGAGGAACTCTCGGTCTGGGGCAAGGAATGCTCTGTATTCTTGGTGCTGGGGGGGGGGGGGAAGAGTGGGAGGGCTTCTAGTGTCCTGGCCCCACTGGTGGACCTCCTGATGGCACCTGGTATTTTTGGCCACTGTGTGACAGAGTGTTGGACTGGATGGGCCATTGGTCTGATCCAACATCGGCTTCTCTTATGTTCTTATGTACACTCCGCCTTTTTCACTTGGACTCAAGGTAGATTACACAGAGTGGGTCAATAGAATCCACGGGATGGGACATCAAATGAACAATGCAATAGGATTGGGGTTTTAGAAACAGCCAGATGTCTAAATTGTTTAACAACTGTGATGTACTTTTAATATTTTGTATTGTTTTATTGTTTTATTTGGCGATATGCCTTGTTTGCCGCCCTGAGCCTTCGGGGAGGGCGGGATAGAAATGTAAATAATAAATAAATAAATAAAAAATAAAATAAAAACAGAACTGAAGCAAAAAATAAGTATTAATTTGACACATCAAATGACGCAGAATTCCATACTGGGATCCTGGCTTCAGTTAGCTGTACACAGTAGTATAGACCACAGATCCTTTCCAAGTAACTTTGTAGATCATTTAGTACAGTGCAACTCTATCGCCTGAGTAGGAAAAAAAAGATTTGCGACTCACATCCTTCTGGGGTCCGCAGGGTGATGATGTCATTAGTGTTGTACCCCTTGGTCAGACACTGGACCTGAACTTTGATTTGATACGTGCAGTCCGGTTTCAGGACCCTCAAGATGCTGCTGGTTTTGTTGCTGTGCGTCTCCAACGATTTCCACACACTCTCTCCGACCATTCTGGGTTTAGGAATTCAAAAAAAACAAGAACAAGGCTCTGCAATTTGGACTAGATGACCTTGGAGGTCCCTTCTAACTCTACGATTCTATGAATATCGTAGCAGTATTGCCTACTCTGGCTGGCAGCAGCTGTTCAGGGTCGCAGGTGAAGGTCTTTCACATCACCTACGACCTGAACCTTTTAACCAGAGATGTTGGAGACTGAACCTGGGACTTTCTGCTGTCCAGGATCACAGGTGAAGGTCTTTCACATCACCTACGACCTGAACCTTTTAACCAGAGATGTTGGAGACTGAACCTGGGACTTTCTGCTGTCCAGGATCACAGGTGAAGGTCTTTCACATCACCTACGACCTGAACCTTTTAACCAGAGATGTTGGAGACTGAACCTGGGACTTTCTGCTGTCCAGGATCACAGGTGAAGGTCTTTCACATCACCTACGACCTGAACCTTTTAACCAGAGATGTTGGAGACTGAACCTGGGAGCCCCCCCCCGCCCCGGGGGGGGGGGGGGGGGGGGGGGGGGGGGGAACCGGCGGATGGGGCCTGAAGGCCCCATTCGCCGTTGTGGAGTGGGCCGGGGGGGATGGAGGTTGCGGACCCTACCTGCTCTGGTGGCTGCACTGAATGCTGGCCGTGATTGAAGACGACGCTGGCCGCGATGACTGGCTCCCTCCCCTCCCACCCACCCAGCCAATGGCAGGCCAGGTTCGCCGAGGGAGCCAGTCATCGGAGGCAGCGTTTTCTGAGTGACAAATTTTCTGCCCATACACTAACGGGGCGCATTTTAGAATTTTGGCACCGACTACTCAATTATAATAAGGGAGAGATATATACAATCAAACATATACAAAATATGAAATATAGACCAGAAAACAATTGTTCCAAAGTTTAACCACTGGGCAAAAATACAAATGAAACCTCCAGTGCAATCACATGTCCAGTAGTTAACTGAAGGAATATTTCATTGGGAGCATTTGGCTATACAATCTCAGGAGAATATATAGTTGACCAGAGAGAAGTACTACTGGACATGTAATTGCATCTTCAGTTAGAGAGTCTGGCAGGAGGTGATGTGAAAGAATTCTCTATAAGACCCTGGAGAGCCGCTGCCAGTCTGAGTAGACTATATTAACTTTGATGGACCAAGGGTCTGATTAAGTATAAAGTAGCTTCATATGTTCACATGTGCGTACTCTGCAATTTGCCACATACACTGATGATGCCATGGTAAATAATACTGACATCTGCCACTCAGTAGTTGTTCTAAACATTCAGCCTGAGTTTAGATACAAGATCGGTCCTGGCAGAAACCCGGGCGGCTGGAGTGCTAAAACTGGCCAGGCTACCTGTAATGGATATTGTAGACACAGGATCCAACTGGCATCTTTTTCGGCCGCATCCAGGTTAGAGTGATGTCCCCCGAGAAGTCGGCCGTCCACTGGAGGTTCTGCACTTTATAGACTAAGGTATCATCTAGGGAACAGAATACAAAGAAAAAAACCCCTATTAATTTGGGGAGCAGGTTGGAAACACAAACCACAGTTGCAAAAATGCACAGTGCAGTCAAAGCCAACCAAAGGCCGCGACAGCAGTTCCACATAACAACTCTGACGTTAAGTCACCCGGCATGTCTGAAATGCTCAGTCTCTGTTTCAACCTACTTTGAACTCATACTCTGAAAATCTTGTTGGTCTCTAAAGCGCTACTGGACTTGAATCTGGCTGTTTCGCTGAAGACTCACACGGCTACCCTCTGAAGCCCAAAAAGCTTGTCGATCTCCAAGACACAAACTGGACTTGAATCTAGCTCTTCCCTTTAATTCACTCTCAGTCTGGTGTAGTGGTTAAGTGCGCGGACTCTAATCTGGGAGAACCGGGTCTGATTCCCCACTCCTCCACTTGCACCTGGCTGGATGACCTTGGGCAAGTCATAATTCCAGCACAGCTGTTCTTGAAAAAGAGCAGTTTCTGTCAAGAGCTCTCTCAGCCCCACCTACCTCACAGGGTGTCTGTTGTGGGGAGGGGAAGGGAAAGGAGTTTGTAAGCCACTCTGAGACACCTTTGGGTAGTGAAGGGCGGGGTATAAAGAGAAGAAGAGAAGAGAAGAGATTGGATTTATACCCCGCCCTTCACTTGGAGTCTCAGAGCGGCTTACAAACTCCTTTTCCCTTCCCCTCCCCACAGCAGACCCCCTGTGAGGTGGGTGGGGCTGAGAGCTCTGACACAAACTGCTCTTTTTCAAGGACAGCTGTGCCAGAGCTTGTGACTGACCCAAGGTCACATCAG